TTTTGATTCATTACTACTGATCAATTTAAAACTTTTGAACTTCCTCATAAATATCCATAAGAACTTTTTTTGAAAAAGATTTTTATTTCAAAGCAGAATATTTGCCATCAGTTTTAGTACTAAAATATGACTTATTGTTATGGTGTGTTATGACACATTTTTTAAAGAGGAGACTAGCAGAGGGCCTTGGAGAATGGCATACTTGACCTTGTTTTTCCCATATGTGAGTTAGGAATGATAATCCCTGTTATGAGCCATTAAGGCAATGTCTATAAAACTCTTTGAGATCCTCAGAAGAAAAGTTTTATGTGTATAGGATTTTACTGTTATCTACATCATTTACTAGGCATCTTCAGCAAACGTTGCAATCTGATTTGAGTTTTTCACCTTCATAATTATACCCTTACATGTAAACTTGTCCTAAAAACCTTTTCTAAGGAAAAAAAAATCATGTGTTTCCTTATTTGATGCAAGGTTCTCCCCCTTCCCATATATAGTAAGCGAGCTTTTTCTAGGTACTTTTTATTCAGCTCTGTCTATTACGGAGGGTATTATAGTTCAGGCTGGCCTTGTAGAAGTGGAGGACCCCAAGTTAGACAATGAGCGTATCAAAATTATTCTTTTGCCACGTAAAGTCCATCATGAAAGACAGGGCTGCTCTACCTCCTGGGGAGAAATGTGGCAGTATTGTTTGTGACGAATGAGTAGAATTTACTTATGCCCAATCTGTTTCCAAAAAAGAGTTTGATATACTGGTTGACTAATACCTTCGCTGGGAGGGGCCCTATTAGAATACTCTTACTGTCAGGGATCAGAGTGGCAGTAAGAGCTTTGGGTTCAAGGCTTGGGCTTCAGAAGAATCTTCTTGCACATAAAGTGAACCTTGGCTTATAACAAACCCTATTTTATGTCCCTTAACATGATACGGAAGGGTAGGGAACATGAGCACATGTAAGCTATTCTAAGCTGATTGATGCCAACACTAATGGGCATTCCTATTTGAAATACACTGACATCCTTTTAAAAGTCAGATAGACTGAAAGTTTCTTTTATTGGAGGCAATATACATTGGTTCTCAACTTTAGCATGCATAGGAAACCTCCTTGAGCCCCTGTCCCAAAGATTTTGACTTAGTATGTGAGGTCGGGCACAGGAAATTTCAATTTTAAAAGGCCCTATAGTTGATTTTAGATCAGGTGGTCTGAGGACATTTGAATTCTAGGACATTCTGTGAGTCTTGGAACCAGTCAGGTGATCTCTGGCAAAAGGCACTTAGTCTTTGCTAAGCATCAGTGCCCTCATGATGAAAGGAAGGTTATAATACATAACTATACTAATATATAACTTTGGGTTTTTTTTTAAAAGTTAGATTAGATAAGTAAAACACTTAGTTCAGTCCCTGGCTCACAGCATGAACTTAATAAATGGTCTTTCTAGCAATTAGGTGTGGAGATTCTGTTTCTGGGTAAAATGGAGTAAGCACATTTCTCCCTGTCTCACCCACGGAACACAGTGATAAAACCTGTACAGAATGCACGGAACATCTGTATGAGGACTGTGAAAAGTAAGTAATAGCAGGAAAATTGGGAAGGAATACCAGAATTTGAAATACCTCTAAACTGGCAGTAAGTTTACCGGGTTTTCCCTCTGATTATTCCTTTACAGGAACACAGCCTGAAACCTGGGAGTGGGCCCCAGGGAACGGAGCTGAGTTCCAGGAGATGCCCTTCATTCCTGGTGCGGGGAGCATAAAAATGGAGTCTAATGTCAGAGAGAGTGTGGACATCCTCCCTTTTTGTCCTCTTGTTTTCTCTCCCCCCAGCCTCCAAGCAGTCCTGTAGCGGCAGCAGTGGGTGAACAGCAGCCAGACTGTGAGGAAGGGGACCTTTCTTGTATCTGAGCTGTGATCCCAAAAGACAGGGCTGAATCCTTGATGCTTTTTCCTCTGCCCTCCCACTGACTGGCCTCTGCCCTGGAAGTATGCTGGGGAGTAGGGTAACTAGAGGGGAGCTCTAGGGAACTGGAAAGAGGTTGCAGAGAGGGAAAAGCTTCAGAAAGGGATCCGTGAAGTTGTTTGTGAACTCCTGAGCTCACCCCTGAGCTGCACATGCATTGATCTGGTCCTAATCAGAACACCGACGATGTTGAGAACTATTAACAAATAGACAACTTCCCAGGTTGCAGTTTGACCATTAAGTAGGGCACAGGTTCAAAAAGCAATTGCAAAGGCTTTGAAAACTGAACTGACAGTAGAACCAAAGCACATAGAAGGTGAGTTGGGACTTGCAGACTGAACTTAACCAGGTGAACTGCTTGCTAAAAACAATAACAACAGAAATTTTCTTTAGCATTTAAACAAGACTCAGAGGCTCATAACATAATATTCAAAATGTCCAGGATACAATCCCAAATTACTCAGCATATGAAGAACCAGAACCTGCATGAGAAAAGACAATCAATAAATGCCAATGCCAAGATGATACAGATGTGGGAATTAACTCATGAAAACTTTAAAACAGCCGTTATAAAGATACTCCAACAAGCATCGCAGACACTTAAAATAAATAGAAAAGTAGAAATGTCCAGAAAAGAAATAGAAGATTTGAAGAAGAACCAAATGAACATTTTAGAACTGAAAAATACAACCACCAAATATAGGAACAAAGACCTCACTGAATGAGCTCAGTAGCACAATGGAGGTGACAGAGGGAAACAGTCAAGAAACTTGAAGATGGATAAATAGAAATTATTCAGTCTGAACATCAGAAAGGAAAAAAAGATAGTCCCCTCCCAAAAATGAAAGAAAGAACAGATACACAGGGACCTGTGGGACAATAACAAAAAAATCTAATATTTATGTCACTATAGTCCCAGAAGGAGAGAAGAGAACAGACTGAAAAAAATTGAAGCCATTGAAGAAACGATGGCTGAAAACTTTCCAAATTTGGTGAAAGATTAAAAACATACAGATTTAATAATTTCAGCCAACCCCAAATAAGATAAATCTGAATAAATCCATGCCCAAGTACATCAAAATATTACTGCTGAAAACTAAAGACCAAGAAAAAGCATGTGAAAGCACCCAGAGAGAATGACGTATTAATTGATGCATTTGGGGGAACACTGACTCAATTGACTGCAGGTTTCCTGTCAGAAACTGCAGAACCCAGAGAGAAGTGGTACAACATGTTTAAAGGGCCAAAAGGAAAGAACCGTAACTGCAGAATTCTATATCCAATAGAAATATCCTTAAGAAATGAAAGTTAAGTAGATAATCTCCCCTACATTCTCCCTTCTTTCCCATCCTTCTTTTTTGAACAAACACATGCTTTAGTATCTCTTTGGGGAGAAACAGTACCTACTTGGAATATTTCACATTTATTTAATGCTTAATATGTCAAGCACTTTCACTTACATTGTTTCATTTCGTCCCAGGCAGCATTCTCTTTCAAGCACCTAAAGCATGGTTATGACCACAGCTCTTGAAGCAGTCTCTCTAGAAACATTTTGAATGCTGGCATAGTTGAAGACAGAAGGATAATTACTTTACCCACTATTTAACACCATCTTTCAAAGAGAAAAGAGGTCCAATAAGTCATATTCAGAGAAGGAGACATGAGTGCACCCCAGTTACCATTGAGTGCAAACACTGAGTAGTTTTTTATGTAGCTTACACTGTATTCTGAGTGAGGCCACATTTATAAATTTAACATGATCTAGTGAAGGCACTTGCTTTTTCTTGAAATGACTTATTCACTCTTGGTGGGGGAGGGTGTGTTTTGATTCCTGGATAAGCCTTGAGGCCAATTCTTGGATCAGGTGTGGTGACAGGGAGGTTTCTAGAAAGGGCACTGTATGTGGTGTCACTTTTTAAAATCTGAGAGAGTAATGCTGTCTTTATTATTCCTAAAGGAAATGAATAAGTGAAACGTGTGAAAGAGAAATTACACCATTGAGATGCTCTCTTTACTTCAGGGAATCTTCTTCACTTCTCTCTCCTTTGTAAGATGATTAATGGATTGACTTTATTTAAACTGTGGGAAACAAATGAAACCATTAAGTGTTTATATTTAAGGCAAATACATTAATAGAGGTAGTGAAGCTTTCTGTAGGCCACATGGCCTGCCCCTAGCCCATAAATGCTCCTTCTGACTTTCCAACGCAAGTGCCAAGCACTGCCTCCACACATTCTTTTTAAAACTTCTTTTCCATTCCAAATCCACTTGGTACTTTCATTATGGTCTTGTTAAAATTGCAAGATGTCCACTGGGACTTCCAGGATAGATTTTCTCTTTACTGAGGAGGAGCAAAAGAGGAAGTATATAAAAGCACTTCTATTTGTTATTCCTTCAGGGAGTCATAGTAAAGAAAAATAGGGACACTTCTATAGGAGGAGTATCTTTTAATTTGGCATTGTTTTAACGGTGAGCATTTGGGGCAAGTGTGTATGCTTCCCCTTTATTTTAGCACCTTGTATAACATCCTGGATAGGACTACTGGGACAGATAATACTATTTTATTTACATGTGGAACAAATAAGTGAATGTTCCTACAAGATATATGTTGATTATGAGCTTGATGTAAGTGCAGACTTGCACTTACGTTATTGGTTCTTAGAATTAGGTCAGTTTTACCCAATTTGTACCTCTATCTCTGTTTCCTCTAGATAAGACTTACTGTGGGAATCTGATAACTCTTTTCCTATATTCTCATAAATGGGTACAAGATATTATGGGGGGTCTGAAACTGCTTTTCGGTTTTCCTGTATGTAGGTGCGTGCTTAAATGTAGTAAAAACTTCTTATAAATGAGAAAACCAGTCACCAGCATGACCCATCCTAACTGCATGATCCTTCCCTCCATATATCCTTGTGTTAAGAAGTATAAAGACCAGCAAGGAATGGTCTTGAGGATGGAGTGGTATGTCCTGAACACTAGTACCCACAGGCAGGTACACAAAAATTTTGTGAATTACACTTTAAAATTCTTTTTCCCTTTTAGATCTTGAATTTGCCTGAACTGATTGATGATTCCAAGTATAGAACTAACCACCTTCGGGTACAGAATAGAAAAGAGCTTATTAAAATACTATCGACACGGTAAGCTTGGCTCTACTGTTTGTACCTTTAAGAATTAATATGTTATTAGCATTTATCTGGCATTTTGTGGTGCTCTTTTTGGCTTATTTAGATTAACATAATTATCTTTCATTTTACAAAATTCGTTAGTGGAAATATATTTTAAAGCTATGTTTTTCTTTGTTTGAAAGCGTTTGAAAGTATTTCACATGTCTTTCTAAGTATTGCATCATAACAATGGTACAAATAAGAACATCACAATAGCTTGCATTAGTTGCTTCTCTGTGGCATGTAAGTGTTTGAGTTTAGTCTATAATAAATACTAACAGTAATAATTCAACATCATTTTTTACATTTACTGTATGAATTGCTCTACATACATGATCTCATTTAACCCTTATAATCATCCCGTGAGGGAAGTTCTATTATTTCCATTTTACAGATAAGGAAACTGAGATAAGGGAGGTTCAGTCAAAAGTTTGTTGGCTTTTCTGAGCCTCTCTGTGTAGTTTGTCATGATGATGTTTTGAAAATGGCAGATTGAGTCATAAAGGATTAATGCTGACCAATTAGAGTATTTGATTTTCAAATTATTCCATTCATGTCAGGTTATACTTTTGTTAAAACCTGTATCAATTTTTCAAGTTTGCCTCAGAAAAAGTTAATAATTCTTACTCTTTCCTATCAGTTTCACTTTTGTTTACATCTAACTTCTCGATCTATAGGAATAGATTGTGGTTTTTGTGGATCTCAATGCCCATGTGAACCGTTCTTCAGTATGGAACATTTGCTCTCATCAAACCAATAAATTAAGGACATTTGTTCAAATACAATATCTTGTCTTTTGAAAATGCCCTTGTGTTTCCATGTAGCATAGATATGTCAAAGTTCTTAGACTCACAGATATCGAGAACAAACTGAATACCAGTGGGGAGGCGGGGGAGGGACAATATAGGGGTAGGAGAGTGGGAGGTACAAACTATAGGGCATAAGATAGGCTACAAGGATGTAGTGTACAACACGGGGAATATGGCCAATATTTTTTAATAACGAAATGGAGTGTAACCTTTAAAAATTGTATTAAAAAACTAACAAAGAAGCGAAAGTTCTTAGAAAAAATTTCTTCTAATGTTATGTTTATTCCTCTTCCCTTCTCCTTTGGGGATCTCTACATGAGTCTGCATTCATTACCTATTTGCTTTTTCCTGGATTTTAAGCACTTCTTCTCTATGCTGCCTGCATCTCTTCCTTCAATCAATGGGGCCTCTGTGTGTGGGACTGATATGCAGAGAAGAGGGGAATGAGAATTGGGCTCCCCTTTCTTGGTCATTAGTTAAATAAAACTCAGATTCTACTGCAAAGCCAGAGAGCCCTCAATCATTAACATTTCACCCCATGAGAATTGGCCCTTTATCTCTGCTTTTTGCCTCTTTGCCTCTCAAGCAGTTTTTGATTCATTTAATTCATTGATATGACTTTTCCCTTTCACACCACGGTTACCAAGTTTCAATAACAGGCACTTGTGAGAACCTTACCAAAAGCTCTTTGAGAGTCTAAATAAACCACATCCATGCTGTGAGAAGAGTGGACCGAAGAAAAATTCAAAACCTAGGCAGATACGTGTCATCTTGTTATTGAGTTGCCAGCACTCTTCTAACTTTAAGAACCACAGAGTTAAATTATTGGCTTCCTGTGTCCTAAAACCTGTATTCCTTGCTGAATTCTGTTATAGAATTCTATTGTGGACAGACTTCTAGCAGCATCTGTAACAGTTTAATTTCAAATTTCTGTTTTTGGGGTGAATTAAATAACCCAACACCTTCTTCTTTCTCCTCTTATGTACCCAGAAGTGGGAGTTTCAGCATTTTGGAACCCATAGGTTCTTATGTCTTTATTCAGACTTCCGGAATCAAACTTGTAAAGAAGAGACTAGAGGGTAGTCTTAAGAGAGGAATCTTGATAAGGGAGTTCCCTTCATCATCATCCTGCTGTTAAAACACAGACCACAGAGAGGCCCGTGGGTGCCCAGAGGCCAGGGTCCCTGCTCTCTTGGGCTGGTGTGTGGACGTGTTTTGGTGGTGTCTTGTGGGATGCAGTTCTACAGTCTCTTCCAGCTCAGGTCTCTTCTCCTCCGTGGTGGATCAAACCATGATGACCAGGGAAGATTAGGATATTGATTCAGTCCCATCGATAACCTTATCATTTGTTTTTCTGAATAAATATCCCTGGATTCCTTAGTACCGTTAAGTGTTGGGCTTTCAGAAGTCTCTGTGAATGTTGTAAAATGTCTCATTTTCATGATATGATTTTATGTTTTTCCAATATTCAAAATATTAATGGCTCTATATTAATTACGTGATTAAATCTGGTCATTTTATTCTGACATCATGGCCTTCCACAGTCTGACATGACCTTTCCTTTCCACCTTTTCTCAATATAAAGGAATAATATAGGGAGGTGGGTCCAGAGGGAGAGAGTAGGGGGAGTTGGCAGGAAAATCATGCTGTAAAAGTTATAATAGAGTTTATGATAAAGGAGTTTCTGAAACTTGTGAAACAAAGGAAATTTTTTGGCCATAAAATGAGTTAGCTTGTCAACAACTTCTGTTTTCTGTGTAACCTGATGAGAGGTCTTTTTTTTTCTTCTTCCAGTTTTATTGAGATATAATTGACATATAATGTTGCATTAGTTTAAGGCACACAAATAATGATTTGATATATGTATATATTCTGAAATGATTACCCTAGTAAGTTAACATCTGTCACCTCACAGTTACAAATCTTTTTCTTCCCTTGTGATGAGAACTTTTCAGATCTACTCTCTTAGCAACTGTCAAATATACAATACAGTAGTATTAACTGTAGTCACCATGCTGCACATAACATCCTCAGGACCTATTTATCTTATAACTGAAAGTTTGTGCCTTTTGAGCACCTTCACCCATTCCCCCCCACCCTGAAGAGACGTCTTGAAGGGAATACTCTACCTGGTAGAGTTCGAAGTTCTCCAGCAACTTAGTATGAGCAAAAACTTCCTTCCACACCTGAAGAGACCTAGGGCCTCAAGAGTTTCAATGGAACATGCTTCTCATTTGTTCCTTCTCTTACTCATCTATTTAACACGTGTTTATTGACTACCTACTATGTGCCAGTGACTGTTTTGGGCACAAGGAAGATGGCTTCAAACACAAAACAAAACTAAACTCGGTGCCTGCCTGGACTTTCATTAGAGTAAACCTTGTAGACGTTCTAGAAGACTTTTCTTTAAGACCTCTTCCATAAAAACATGTGTTTTGATATGCCTAAGAAGTTAGCTGTCCGTATTTTTCATATAAACTTTTTGTAAATTTTGCTTTACAAAAGTATTGCAGCTACAGTCTGTGCCTGTTAATAACTTATTGTCTTTTTGTGAGCATATTACAGTGTACATGCTACAGTTTTTTGTGTGTGTGGTTTTCCTGTCATTTCTATAGAAAAGCATATTTTTGGTAACAGTAGCTACATTACCATGTGAATATACCATGTTTTCCCCTGTTGTCTGCTATTAAACATTACATCATAAAACTTTCCTTTAATGCTCATAGACACTTTCCTCAGCCTATATTTCTATTTTGGAAAATCTTTAAAATACATAAAAATGTAGAGGGGTTTGTGAGAGTGAATTTGCACTTCAGACAACTTTTAAAAAATCTCTAGTGATGATGGACTCATGGTGTTCCTTAAAAACAAAACAAAACAAAATGTCGCACCCCTTTCATCCAATTCGATATCCAAAAGTGAAAACAGAAGCATTTATGGATTTTTACAAAGTTTGCTCTCCTAAATACACAAAAAGGTTCCCTCTTGTGTTTCAAAATCTTCCTTCCAAAGTATTTTTCCTAAGTTTTGATTAATTTCCTGAGTAATTTCCCAAAGTAACTTTCCTGCCCATGGCAAGCGTTCATTTAAGTGTTTTAGAATCAGGTGATTCTCTTTGTATTCTCCTCTGCAATTCATAGACTCTTTAGAAAGTGCCTACCAGAAATGTCAGTCATTTACCTCACTTTTCTGTCACTCTTGCTAAATTCAGTTTGATGCTGCTCTCTGAGAGTTGTCGGCCTCACTTGGAAAGGCAGCTGCATGTTTTTGTCATCAGCGGAGTTTTCCATAGCCAGCACAAACAATCCCTCTCAAGTGCTCTCAGGTGTTACTATTCCCCAACTGTGGACGTGAGCAAGTTTTTTTTTTTTAATTTAAAGGTGGAAGACTTTCTCCTTGAACTTGCCATTTTATCCAGGGTGTTTCAGAAAGTCTGTTTACCCAGCTGCTAAGACCAAAAGCGAGGCAAAACTAAAGCATGTTAAAAGTCCCCAGCTAAAACACAGAAGAAAAGATAAAATCGAGACTAATGCAGGGTCTGTTATAACAAACCCCTCCTTTGCAAAGCTAAGGAGCAACAAACTCCTCAACCTGTGCTACCCACACACGGGACCAGCATTTTTGCAATAGTTCAGACCTCGTGGGAGAGACTAAAAATCATGATGTGTATTGATACTGAGAAGAGAAGGATTATGATGATGTATTAGTAGTCGGGGAGAAATAATAGGAAGACATGAAATGAGGATGAAGGAAAAGAGAAATAATAGGGAAAATAGAAATACAATTCATTTTATTCCTCCTGCTTCCTCTCTTCATCAACGTTAATGGCCACTGACTGTGTGCCCTTGTCCTGCAGATGCAGAGCTGAAAGATGAGGTGGCTTTTGGTCTAAGTAGGAAAACAAACAAGTAAAGCAATGAATTAAGTAGTGTGTGTGAAGCGCCACTATACACATACACACAGGGTGGTGGGAGCCCAGAGAAGGGGCGACTACCTCAATCTGGGCAAGTCAGGGAAGGCTTTCCTGCAGACAGTGCCAGCTGAGGTGAGTCTTTTTTTTTTTTTTTTTTCCAGTTGAGATGAGTCTTAAAGGACAAATAAAATTAGGCAGGTGAGGAAAAAAGATAGTTCACATCAAAGGAGGAAATATCAAACTGAGTGTAA